CTGATCCACCTGCCCTACTGGTCAACTGTATAGAACTTCCACACCACCCCTCTTCTCACGTTGGCACTTAACTGCTCAGCAGAGCTCCAGAACGAGACGAAACTTACCCCTGAAGGATTTGAGAGCAAAACTGTAAGGCAAGCAACAAGGCTTCTAAATACCCCTGGGGTTACTTTGACTAACAGCTTTATGTCTGATTAAGAGAAAGCCTCGGGCGCCTGGGTGGCTCAGATGGTTAAGTGTCTGCCTTCGGCTCAGGTCATGATCCCAGGGTCCTGGGATCAAGTCCCACATCGGGCTCCCTGTTCCTTGGGAGCCTGCTTCTCCCTCTACCTCTCTCTCTCTGTCTCTCATGAATAAATAAATAAAATCTTAAAAAAAAAAAAAAAAGAGAAAGCCTCATTAAGCAGGTCTCAGACAATGGCCTGGGAGAGCGGAGCTGGACTGTATGATGACACATCAGGGGTCTATAGTCAAAACTATTTCTTCCCCAAATACTCTTCTGGACCACCCACCACCACTTCATCTGGTGATGACCTGTAATTTCTCTGGTCAGGATATTTCACTTTTATTATTCCTCTGTAGGAATGTAGAACTTATGTGACTTTTTATAACCATCTGACCTCCTAATACAGGAACACGTGGACCAAGCCATAATCCTGGACCTGAAGGATCCACGTTATTCAATGCTCGTAAAGTGGCACAGGACCTCCAACAAGATACTGGGGCCTTCCCCGGCAAACATCTCCAAATTAGGGGAACAAGCCCAAGGTCACAAGAGTGCACTGATTTCTCTGATCTTTCCTGGCATGCTTCTCGGCCAGCAGGCCCCTATTGTGTGGTTTGGTGAGGAGATAAAACTTGGGCCAGCACTGATGATGAGAAGAGGCTATTTTCTTTCTTGTATAAACCTTTTTCAATATGTGTGTTTTGACATTAGGCAGCAGATACCCATACCCTAGTTCTCCTGATGTCCCGTCACCATAAGATCTTCGAAGATTCTAGAGCCAGACCAATTTTCATCTTCTTTTAAGTTACCCCAAGGCAACAGAAGTTACATTTCTACAGAAAATGGAGCCCCAGCCCTGGCAACATAACACAGTCAACTGAAGCACAATTCATCAAAATACACCAGAGGACACATGGCAGCAGGACCGAAGGACACTAAACCTGGGAGCTTCATGCAGAAAACCTCATAAAGGTGAATACCCTTTTTTCAGTACAACGAAAATAAACACAGAGACCACGAAACACATACACCATGTCACTCTGCCACTACACCCACCTTTCTAAAATGTACATCAGATCACACCTTATTTCTGCTCTAAGGCTTCCCAGGGCTCTCCATCCTCCTGAACCCAGCACCCAAGCTCTTATACACGTGTCTCCTCACTCACCTTTTTGGCGGCTGGTTGGTCATCCACTGCACAGCCCTTGCCTTCTCACCCCTGAACACTCACTGGTCAACTGTGTGACCGAGATGCCAACCCCACGGATCCTGTCTATAGCCCAACCAAGACCACCTGGCTGTCCTCCAGATGTTCTTAGTTCCACGATGAATCAAGCAAGAGTTTTGAACTGTTTTTCCACTAAAAGTGCACATCACAAAGGTACAGGAAAACTCACGTTTACACTAAAGATAAATTAAAGGATGATTATTCAGCTTGATGTAAAAGTGTTTTAAATAGCAAACTCCCTTAGTGCTTTGTAAATGGGACTTGATGTGCAAAAATCGGGCTTACATACAAAAATGTGAAGCCTATATATCCAGTTTCCCTGGTGGTGACACTTCCCACCAATACGGTTCACATATGAAATGATGGGACACGTTTAATAAGTCAGCATGTGTCCCCCCCACCTCATTGCGTGGGAACAAATACATACACCAACATGAAAAGAGAAAACGGAAGAGGAAGAATGAAGAAGTGGGAGAAGCATTTTGCGATCTGTCAAGATCTTAGGATTGGTGCCTCATTCTTATCTCCCTGTTGTTCTTGAGAACCCGAAGGGTACGTGCAGCGCTGCTGGATCTGTACCGCTTTATCCGCAACACCCCCTTGCACTACTCATCTTCAAGCAGGGACAGGCGGTGACCACCACCAGCACACCCTGCTCTGTGCTCAGAGGCCTGGAGGATGCTGTGTGTAGCCGAGGAGTACAGCAAGCTGACTGGTTCTCACAGGTCAAGGTCAAGACTCTGGCCTTTTATCATTAGTATTCTGTAAACTGCCAGCCAAAAAACCATGCTTTGGGAGACAGAGGAGGCCAGGCTTTTACATCATAAAGGTATACAAACATGTAAGTACTGGGGCGCCCGGGTGGCTCAGTTGGTTAAGTGACTGCCTTCGGCTCAGGTCATGATCCTGGAGTCCCGAGATTGAGCTCCCCCATCGGGCTCCCCGCTCAGCAGGGAGTCTGCTTCTCCCTCTGACCCTCCTCCCTCTCATGCTCTCTGTCTCTCATTTTCTCTCTCTCAAATAAATAAATAAAATCTTAAAAAAAAAATGTAAGTACTGACAAGCAGGACGTTACAGGAGAAAATACTAACATATCTAGAGTAAAAACATGACACAGCTTATCTGACAGAGGAGTTAAATTTATCAAAGGAGTTAAATTTATCAGAAGACTAAATCTGTAGCTAATATCAACACTTCTATAAAATCAAATTTAAACACTTAAACATAGTTTTTATCATTAACTCATTAAAATATATTATGAAATACATGTACATTGTTTTAACACTCATTATTTTTAGGCATTTGGCCAGATGTACTAGAAAAGATTATCAAAACAATAGTACACATCAGCCATTTCAAAAGTCAAAACCACAAAACAAATTATAGACCAGAACGTTAATTTTGATCAAAAAACTTTGCTTGCTAAAAAAAAAAAAAACACCTCACGTTTTTACGAAAAATCTTTAATAGTAACATTCTTTAGGGCCCTTACTATGATTTGGGTCCTCTTCTAAGTGATTTGCACATATTACCTTGTTCAATTCCCAAAACAACTCTGTGAGGTAAAGAGATTAACACCCTCAATTTACAGATGAAAAACTGAAGCAAAGAGGGCAAGTAATTTGTTCAAGGTCATACAACTAGTAAATTTGTAGACTTAATTAACTTGAAACCTCACACAGATTATTGAAGAATGTTAACATTTATACAGGTGTGCCAAGGGAAATACCTTTAAAACTATACAAATATATTCATACCAACCATGTTTTAAAAGCAGCCATTTTGTGTGGGTCTTGCTCCAAATCTACTCAAAGATCCACCTGTTAGTAGTTTACCTCACTTAAACTAAATTTTATGGTAGTAAAAACCCTGGTTAAAAACAATAGTGGAAAAGATACTGTGATCATTTCTTTTATAAAATTATTTGTCATATTACAATATAATTCAGATGAGGTGCCTTTAAGTAGCAAGCTACCAAATGTTACATGGTATGCATACAGCCACAATGAAGTTTTTGTTCTGGTAGCTGATTTGTGTGAACCAACATAGTGCTAAAACTGTACAAAACCACATAAAAACTGAATTAACTAAGCACCTGAAAAGCAACATATATATTACCCAGGGAGAGGCAGAGCCATACATGGGAAGTTGGACAAAGCATAAGATTTCAGGGTCCTTGCACTTGAAATCAAGCATGTAATAGATATGATTTCTCAGGACATGAAGACATAAGGAGAATTTTTCTTTAAACAGTCACAATAGAGCACAATAGAGAAAAAGATCAAGACCATGCCATAAAGTGAAAATTGGTAATTAAGTTCTTATTTCTATTTATCTGGTTAATTCTAATAGTTTTGAGGTAAATATTTTTTGATTTCCTTAAATAGAGCATTTAAGAGTTACTGAAAATGGATTTGGCTTTTCTGTCAGTACTATGGCTCCTTATCTGTGGTTTCACTTTCCAAGGTTTCAAGTTACCCACAGTCAACAGAGGTCAACCGCAGCGTGGAAGCGGATGATCCTCCTTGCAACCTATATCGTCAGAAGGTCAGTAGCAGCCTAACACCAGGTCACAGCGCCTGCGTCTGTCCCCTCGTTTCATCTCATCACGTAGGCATTTTATCATCTCACAAGAAGGATGAGTACAGTACAATCAGATATTTTGAGAGAGACAGTCCACATTCACATAACTTTTATTACAGTGTATTGTTATGATTGTTCTATTTTATTATTATTGTTAATCTCTTACTGAGCCTAATTTATAAATTAAACTTTATCATAGGTATAGGAAAAAACATAGTATATATAGGATTTAGTAGAATCTGTGGTTTCAGGCATCTACTGGAAGTCTCAGAACACATCCCCTGTGGATAAGGGGACTCCCGTATGTTCACATTTGAAGTATCTGACATTGCCTGAGGCAATATTTTCTGCTAGGCTAGAATCAAGGTAAGGTATCTTACTTTTAGTGACTGCTAACACATAAGGAGAAGTGGTGCTCAGATGCTCATATTTGCTACCTATTCCCTATTCTTCCTTTTAGCACATTATTAGCCATGGTGCCTTTTATCGGCACATACAAGTAACATGCCTACCAACTAGAAACCAGAATAATGTTTATGTGTGGCTAATAAACATCACTCTCTTTACTTGATAGCCCCATACTACTGCACAATGCTTTACCACAACATTTAATTCATCCACTTACATGGTCACAGGGGATACGAAATGGAAATAATTTACCAGTGAAGATCTGTGTGTAGATGAACACTTTGTAAAAACCAATCTTCGGCCTAAGTTAGTTTGTGCAGTCCAACGGCCTACCACACTGTTTGCATATGCTCAGTTGTTAAAAAGCAAAATTATACACTTGGTTGGTCTTCAGCTCTTTCTACTTCCCAAAGACATAAGGAAACAGACCCCCTTCACCTGGAATACCTATTTACATGGAAATAGGAGCTGGCTGAAGTGAACAAACTGATCATGTGCTTTTAAACAGAATGAACCAAAAAAGGATGACGTATTTATAAAGAAGCTGCTTACCTTACAAACAGAAAGAACATTAATATTTATCAGTTTCTTGATGGTCTGCAAAAGAAAATATTGATAATTTTATATACATATCATCATGGAAGTAACCATATTAGATATATATGCAAGTGATCTAACAAACCACTGAACGTTTCCCCAGATAGAGTAGAGAACTGGAAAATGACAGGCGTCAGGGTAGAGAGGCAAATTTTATTTTACTCTCTGTGTTACAGTACTTTTCTACCAAAAGCAGCAATTCATGCTAATATGTAAAATTCAAGGTAGATGTATTAAGGAAAATCTGGAAGTGAAAGACACTAAATCTAAAATAAATATGCTATTTTCTTTCTGCTAATATCGAAAGGAGATATTATTGAATCTGAGATTCTCAACAGTTTTTTAAAATCCACATATTCCTTCAATGATATGCTTTTCTAATTTTTATTAAAGAATTATGCATGCCTCAAGAATATAGCTTTCATTTTGGTGGGTTTACTTGAATCAACCATATTGCTATATATTAACATATTTATGATCTCTAAACTGAGGTTTAGAATCCTGATACTAAAAGCATAGCTATTTTGATATAATAAAAATAGAACTAAGAGTAATACAATGAGTTATTATTGAACCTGGCACTATACTAATGAGGTTACAAATATTTTCTCATTCAGTCCTTCTAACATTCCTATGAAGTTGCCTACTTTATGGATGTGGGAATGGACACTAAGCATGGTTGGGATCATGCCCAGGGTAACTCCGGGAACAAGCGGAAGAGCCAGAGTGTGAACCTCGGGCAGCTGGATGGACTCCAGGGCTCACGGTGTGAACCATTATGCCACACGGCCTTGCCAATACTTGCATGCATTCTTTTTGTTACTGTACCATACAAAAAAAGACTTACGTTGTCCAAGTCAGGAACGTCCAAAAAGTATTCAGGATACTCATATGAGATTCCCACATTGTTCACTGAAATAAGACGAGATCGTTAGTTGGCTAACATACTTTATTTTACAGATTTATTGAAACAATGAGATTAACAGTATCAAGACTAAAATGATACATACAAAGACATGAAATCCTGTTTATGGCTGGAATGATCTTTCCCATACCTTTCCATCCAAAACCTATCAGTATATGTCTAGTTCAAATGTCTTCTCCTTCATTAAGCCCTTCCTGTACCTACCAGCCAACCCCTGACAAAGGGACTTTGTATTCGCTTCAATTTCTATAGCCCCTTGGAGTCTGTGTACATTCTGCCTCTGTAATAGTTACCTGTAGATATTGCTTCTCTCCTCTCTAGACTTATATTTTCATAATGTAGTAGAAAGAGCGAAGAGTACTACAGTGGAGGCGACTAGAAACTGGAGTTTTACTAGAAATGGAAAGCATGTGACTTGGAATAAGTCACATCTGAGATGCATCTCAGTTTCTTCATCTCTAACATGAGAGCTTGTTTAATCATTCAACAAATATTTGCCACACACCTGTGTACAAGACACGCACCAGGAACTAGAAACACCAGGAAGAAAAAGGCAGTTTCTAGCATCATGGAAAATACTATGCTGTAGGAAGAGAAAGGCACTGAAGAAAAAGAATTAAACAATTATTTCATTACAAAATACAGAGTGCCACGGAAGCCTATTCCTGGAGTCTGACCTCATCCAGGAAGTGAGGGAAGGCTTCCTCGTGGAGGCAAAGAGAGTGGGCCAGACTAAATATCTCCAGTGGTTCATCCTTACCAGATCATAAACCCTGAAACATCATGTTTTAGTCTTTCTGTATCTTCCCTCCTCAGTCACCTCACCTAAGGTTGGAACAATCAAGAAGCCAAGAAAAAATTTATATACGATTAGATATATGATTAATACTCAGATACCCTTTGGTTCTCCCTAGTTCTGGAAAGACAAACCCAAAATAAGGAACATTTGCAGGAACCAAGAAAATACATAAAATATGTTGGAGTTTATTTTAACTAATAATGAAATGGATCATCTCCTCTTTCTACATTTACTCACCATAACAATCCTATTAGGTAGTTCCTATTATAATCTCCCTTCTACATAGCAGGAAACCAAAGTTCACAGCAGTTAAATAACTTGTCAAAGGCCATAGAACAAAGTAAGGCTGGGACTTCCACTCTGGAAATATGACTTCAGAGGCTAGGCTCTTTACCACTACATTAAAGCTACCATATTCCTTCACGCAGTATTCAGTTCAGGAAAACAAAAAAAAATCAGTAATAATTGGATAATAAACAGAAATCTGGTAGCAATGTTTAATAAAACTGAAGTATTAGAAAGGTTTCAGTAGCAAAAAGATAATGAAATTATGATCAGTCTGCAAAACTTAGAAGGAGCTGTGCCCAATAAACCTGACAATAGTAACACTAACTTTTTCAATAGACTAAGAAAATTCGTAGTTTGAAATAACTCAATAAGCATTCTATATTTAGCAGTAAGCCAGTCACTTCAGGCTGAGTCTCAAGATTTTACTTGCACAACTTGGTCACGATGGACTGAACAACATCACTGAAACTTATCTAAAAATCTGAAAACAAAGGACAGTGGCAAAGCAAACTGTACTTGATTACAATTCATGCTCCATTTGAACAGGGATTATATCTAAACATAATTGATAACTGCAGGTCCAAATCCATTTTTAATTTATTTAACAGGTTCTCTACCCAACAGAAGTTCAAGGTATGGATTCTATAAAAGACCTTTTAACAGTTAAGGCTAAATTAGTTAAATGTGAGGCATTATGTTGCCTTGACTTTGCTTTACCCATCAATAGAATTATAAAGGATGAATCACTCACAGTGTGACTAAGAGAAACAACTAAAGTATCCATTTAAATGCTACAAATAAACAAAATATTTGTTACAAAGTCAGTTTAAAATAAAAGAATACTCAAGGAAAGGTTTTGCCAAATTGTAATATTTTTCAGGATTGAAGAAAAATTCCATCATCTATAGCCAACCCCATCTGCCTTCCCTCTCCTGGATCTAGAAAATTTTCTGTTTTCAGATTTCTTTCTAGCCAATGGAAATATTAATGCTCTATTTCGAATGAAGAAACCTGAATTGTATAACTATAAATCTTTTAAAATCCAATTTTTTTTTTTTAAATCTGGGAACCCTATAAGCAGCACATTTGACTTTGTAATCTTAACATGCACTGCAAGTACAAAGTTGGGCTAAGGAAGCCCACAAAAAACAAAGCAAGCAGGGAAATGTCACTCTGATTAAGGTTGCACCAACAATAGACAATCTTCAGATCTGTTTCTAATTGAGCAAAGGAGAGCTATCAAAACTACCTACTTGTACAATTAAAATGTGAACAGCTATTTAACATAGTTCTAAAGGAAAACATGTTCTACACTGAGAACTTTAGCCCAAGTAACTCAATAGAATCACGTATAAGGGCTATGTTATTATAGCCAAAACTACACACAGAAAAAAAAAAAAACATTAAAGCTGGAATAGATCTTTCAGAGCATTAAGCCCAGTTTTATGAGGAGGAAGTGCAATGCCAAGGTCACATAGGCAATTTGTCCTATGCTAGGGCTTAGGAATCTTAAATCCCTTCCTGTTTTGTTAATTGTACTTTTTGCGTGTGAAATAAACACTACCCAGAATCTCTCCACCACTGGTCATCACTTCAGAGTGCAGAGAAAAACAACTGTTGCTCTCAAATAGCTATTTCCATAAACTACTGCACACTAGTGCAAATCTTTTGAAAAAGGCAATCCCATTGCAATTTTATTTTGAGACATGAGGTGGCAGCAGTAACCAAAGGCAGGCGAAAGCTTTCAGGAATTGGAAAAGGAAGAAAACAGGCTTTGGGTAGGAGTGAAGGATGGAAATATTTCCATTAAAATGTAATCTCATTAAGAATGGGTGTGTGCAATGCCATCTTTATATATTACAGGATTCATTATAGAATTCACCAAACCAAATAATGTCACAAGTTGTCCCACCATTATTCAGATCGTTGGAAATCCCTTCTAAATGGTAGCCATTTAAATTGGCATTAAATATCTGTTTAGTAGTGAGGGTTTTTTTTTTTTTTTATTTCTTCAAGTAAGACACCAGAGACAGATTTAAAATTTTTTATTCAGTGAGCCACAAAAACCTTTTACTCATGTGAAAGACACCGAGTCTTTCCGAAAACAAAGGATGTCCATGTAATCTCAGAATTCCAACCAGGACTCCAACAATCACCACAGGATCATGAACAGATATAAAATCTTTTCCATCAGTTTCTCATTAGAGTTCTAAGATAAGAAGAGTTCGACAGAAGAGATGAAGCAAACAGAGAGCAGAGGTCACTGACAGACCAAGAACAAGGACAAGGTAAGTGGAAAAAGAATGAGGTGGTGGGCAAAGGAACAATCCTCACAGAGCCGACCCTTGCTGGGAAGAACTGTCAAGTGCACTGAGCTCAGGAGCACCCCCCACGCGGAACTTTTGAAAACACGGATACTGATAAAGTATTGCATTCTAAAGACTCAAAGTCCAGAGTAATTCTGAAATGTCACATAAATATTCTGTATCATACTATTGCTAAAAATCATTTCCACATCTCCTACTTAAAAAGAACATATACAAGATTTCTGTTGCTTCTAGATTCTCTTGCTGCTCTTTCTGACCTTACTGGACTTAGAACCCTTTACCAAAACTAGCTGCTTTTGAGATAATGATGTCATTAGAAAATCAGATATTTGGTGTCTGGGTTGGGCATGAGGGAGGGGCAAACAATAAATTACTAGAAAATAAAAATCCATTTGAACAAACACAATAAAAACCGATACAGGCAACAACCACACACAGAACACCTTCAACCTGCTTTTTCCAGATTAATCAGAGGCTTAAGAAATTAAGGTGGTATAAAAGTACATCACCTAATGGTTGGGCTTCCCAATATATGTCAAGTAATGCAAAGTATTCCCGATTTCCCACTCATCAAAGTACAAATGTTAAGGTAATTTCAGTCACATTTACAGTGATATACACTAACCCAGTTCAAGCCCTCAAATTAAAGACTAGAGAAATGGAAAACCTATTACAGTTCATTAATAAATGGATTAGGAACAAAATGTTACCACTTCATTATATTTCAAAACAAACTGAATTTTTTAAATGTAGACTTCAGGAATAGTGTATATGCCAAAAGTAGGGGGAAACCTCTCCTGTCTTAAGCTTTTGAACTAACAGGGTCTGGATCTCAGAGTCCATCAGACACGGGTTTCGGTCCTGGCTCTCCTAGGACCAGCTCCTATAAGAGGCAAGTGATTTCACCGCAATGAGCCTCAGTTTTCTCAATGTCCTTATATATAAAACAGGGCTAATTATTTAAGAAAATTAGATGCTATATATCAAATCTTTAACCCAAGGCCTAGAACATATCAGTACGTTAATAAGTGGAGGAAGAAGAGTTGTTATTTTTGTTTGGTCACTTCTTCAACAGGTGGTTATTGACCCACTCTGTAGCCAACACTGTTCTAGGTGCTGGGATGCAGCAGGACAGGCAAGGTCCCCACTTTCATCAGAGGTGAGCAGCGGCACAGTGCAGAGACAGAAAGACTGTTCTGGGCCTCAGTTAGCCAGAGTAACTGCTTGTACTGATTAAGGGTAGACCAGTTGTTCCTCTCTCCTCTCTTTCAAGTAGATCCAGCCTGACAGTCTACACAGAGTTTGCAAAGTGAGGCAAAGAAAATTCCTTCTTTGCCTTACTTAACATATTGCTGTAGCTAGCACATGTTCATATTCTGACAGATGATATTTGGAACACCATGTAAAACATTTTGCAAACTTTACAGTTTTCATACACTTGTGAGTAGCAATTTCTAAATAAAAGAGAGTTTACAAGGCTTTACATTTGCAGCGCCTTTAATCAGAAATTGAAAAGTTAAGACTGAGTCAGAAGCAACACCACAGAACATTTCATTTCCACTGATTAATTATA